CCCCAAAACCCCAAAACCCCAAAACCCCTGTAAAATCCTAAATAACTGAATAAAAATTTAGATTTAAATTTGGAATGGAGTCAAGGTAGGTCTTCACACAATTTGGGAAGCCCAAAGGGAAGCACTGAATACAATAGCGATTAGAATGGAGTAGAACGGGCATTAATAGTGTATATATAGAAGGGAGCTCACTGAACAACCGTTATCACACAATTATAGATTCGAACAAATTGAAGCATCCAGCTCAGCAATTGAACTGTTAGAGACACAGCTAATATTAGCACTGACTAGTCATGAATTTGACAAAGAAAATGGTAAATTTTTGAATTTTTGTTGTTTGAAATATCAGAAATTGTATCCTTCTATAAACAGAATTTTACGAATTTTAATCGCAACATTATTCATTTTAAGATTTATGAAATACTCAAAATGGCAATAAGAATATCTTTTAAGAGTACAAACCTAACCAAAAGTCTTATCTTTAACTTTTAGTCCAAATTATATCTTCAGATGCCAATAAGTTACGTTTAGAGCATTTAAAATTTTCTGATTTAGTCTTTCTAGTTTTCATAACCTCCTTGTCAATGCTTCTTTTAGATAACAGCGAAGAGGATAAGAGTGTGGTTAGGTCACTAAACCATGAAGAAGATTTTAAATCAGATTCCCATTTCCTCAGGCCAAATCAGACCTAGGAGTTGGAGGGAAGAAGATGTCGGAGACCTCCTGCATAGATTAGGTATTTTTCTTTCTGATTCTTATCTTACACTAATTTTAGACTCAAAGGATACCTCAGACCGATGGATACTTCATTTTATCTTCGTAGTGCTAGCTATTGAGAACTCGAAGGAGCTATCTCTCTTAGCCAAGAGAAATTGTAACAATCTGAACTCAGATCCAAAGCTAGGGAGTCAAATTAACTCTGCAAGAGATTATTTATTTTCCCACACTGAACTCTCTGGTAAAGCTGTTGAGCATTGCATGGAGGTGAATAGCTATGAAGCAATCTCTTACTTGGTTCAAAACTTAGATGCGATATACATTACTCCAATTGTGAAGTACTCCTATGTGAGAAAAATGGCTATAAATTATTCTAATACAAAGGACATCATCTCAGTCATGGTCAAGAATAAAGTCCAAGTTCGAAATTTGTAAGGAAAATTTTCAAATTTAAATTTTATTGAAAGTTCTAATTTTAGTGTTCACACTATTATTTAGAGAAAGTATGGAAGAAGAATCGTTAGATCAGCCATTAGAAATAAATTCAGAAAGTAAGCTATTTCAAAATATCTTATTTAGTGAAATCAGCAGAAAGTATCATGACAATTGAAAATAGGAAAAGATTAAAGACCGTCAAAGAATCCATAAATGAAGACTCAGAGTTTGCACGTGAAGAGTCTAAAGGAGAGGAAATGTTTACTACTAGCTTCCAAAAAGCTTCAGATGAAAGAACTGTACCACAAAGCTCGAGACCTCTTATTACTACTCAATTGAAAGATCTTCCTGCACCACAGACAACCTTCTGAGTGTATCTTGAATCAGAAGTGATATTGGAGACAATATTCAGATCGAATTTATTTTCTACAAGTGAAGAATTCTCTATATTAACTGATTTCTTCCAAGATTTTAGTAAACTAAAACCCTCAAACAAGATCATGCTGATCAGGCTATTAATAACATACGAGAAGATCGAGCTAATCCATCGAATTTTAGAAATCTTTCAGAACATGAATACAAAGAGAGCCCAATATGTTGGATACAGTGGAATTGTCTCAATGAATCTTTCAACTATCAATAAAGCTCTGGAAACTCCTGAAGCAATTATTAGAGGCTTTATTCTTGAGCTAGTGTTCAGTATTATCGATTATGGAGGCATGTTCTTCCTTGAGGATATCCTTCATCGTTTCAAGAGTTTGATAGAGAATAACACCATTCCTATAATAAACAGAATCGTCCTCTCTATTGAGAAAAAGTATGAAAATCAAGAGCCAATAGTCTATGCAGATTACTATTTTAGCAGTATCTTAACACTCTGTGAGATCGGAGTTGCAGATATGAAATCTATTCAAGATTTGATGAGTGTAATGAGTAAACTCCTCAAGCAAGAACCAAAGATAAATTTCTTGGCCAACTGTTATAACCCAATCAAAATCTTCATTGATATAGCAAGAATGCTCGAGAGAATAGGCCAAATCTTCCATAACTTTGATGAGGAAGTAAAGATCCTCACATCAAAATTTGAAGCAGTAATTATCAGAATAATTGATGAAAGAGAAAGCTCAGATCATTTAAGAAATTGGCTTTATCAGGATTATAACTCTTCCTTCAAGATACTTGATTATATTGCCCACTTTGAGTTCCTTAATATTCTGAACCATCCTAAGATGATTAAAACAGTTGAGCAAATGTGGATGGGGAAGTATGACTTGAACATTTTCTCATTGTCAGATGTCAACTACTTCCTTCCTTTCAGAAATGAAACTCTCTCAGCTAGTTACGGAATTAACGGAGAAGAGGCTCTTGCCATCATTCGACCTGGCCATTGCTTGGGGTTTTACAAATACCCAATTTGGAGCATTAGCATAAAAATAAAACAACTTGCGGAAGAATCTCGCAAGTTTGAAGCAGGCGCTGAGAAAATATTAATGAAAGGAGCAAGATGGGGATTTTCCTTCTTTAAAGATTCCATGTACTTCCATTACAATATTGTCTTCTTGATCGATCTTGTGATAGGAATTTTAAATTCAGTAATTTTTGGGCTGGTAATCTACGAACAAGCCAACATGACTAATACTTATGGTAAGTCTTTCTTCTTAATTTTCTAGAAAACAGGATTAAAAATCAGACAAGTCTTGCTGAACTTGATGCAGCTTACTCGACTCTTGAAGCACAAGGTCAAAGATGGAGAGATTATTTCATTTCATTTGTTGTGTTTACAGCAGTCTTCAACGTCAACTTCACTCAAGATGTTCTGATCTATCTTTCCTTCATAATTCGTAAGATAGATCGTAAGAATTTGAGCACTGTTTTTAAGTGGATCAGCGTTGCAGACTCTATCTGAGTCCTTTGTGCCTATGTTCTCTATGTTCAGTTCTCTACAGTTTACAGCAAGAATCGAGATATCTATAGAATAGAGGAGAGAAACTACAGAATGATGATTGACTCGAGAGATGGAAATATAGATCCCTTCTCTTTAATGGTTATCATTATCATATGTATTAGTGTCAGAATATTGCTTAATCTGGTATACAACACCTTATTTGGCTCATTTGTGCAGATAGTCATAAAAATGGCAAAAGATTCCTTTATTTTCCTGTGTATTTATACAATAGTTATCGTAGTATTTTCCTTGATCGGTTCAGCAATGTTTTATGATATCGACCAATTTAGCAACTTCCTTGAAGCCTTTGTACACCTCTATGAATCTGCTTTGGGAGGATTCGACTTCTCCATTTTCGAAGATGGTACAGTTTCAGAACCGTTCGTCGGAAAGATCTTTATTGGAGTTTACTTATTGGTCTCAGCTATCCTCCTTCTCAACTTCCTGATTGCTATTATGTCAGATACCTATGCTGCCTTGAAGGATTATAGTATCGGAATGAAGATGGCACAAGTTATCAAAATCAGGCCTATTTATGAAGATCATCCACAATTCTCTTGTATGGTAAAAAGCTTACCAATCCTAAATTTTGTAGTGCTAGTCATGCTTCCTTTCATTTTAATTTGTCAGTCAAGAACTCTGAACAGCTTCCTTCTCAGATTTGAATTCCTTATCTTCCAGTTCTGATTAAAGATAATGCTCTTACTAATAGGTATCCTTCTGCTGCCATTTATCAGCTTGTACTTAATCTATGAAAAGGCAAGAAGTATTTGATTCTCAAAGCAAAACAGAGTTAGCCCAATCTGGGCATTTATTGACCTGATACTTCTCTTCCCTCTGTGCACTTTTAATGCGTTCTATATCCTCGTTTACTGGCTAGTGGTTTCAACCCTTCATGAGAACTTGAGTAAAAACATTCTCAAAGTAACTGAGATTTTTAAAGAAGATTTTATCAGCATTAACCAAAAATGTGATAAATCTTATGGCAATGAGGAAGACGATGATCATAACCTTGACTTATATTTCTTTAAGAAATCTCTGGGAACTGAACTGAAGATAGAATATAATCCATCTAACATGATGTTGGCAGAAACGACGGTGGCCATTCTCATAGCTGTCCTAAAGGAATCGGAAGATCATGCTAAGAAGCTTGGAAAGAATTATATCCCAACTTCTTATATCATCAGAAATTTAAGAAAATACATGTTTATTGATTCAATTTTGGCTAAGCTCATATTTCAGGCTGGAACAAAAGACATCGATATCTCTTCATTACAAGAATTCGATGATTTAGTGGATCTCCTTGTTGATAGGTCTATCGGTGGAATCAATAAGAAGGAAAGCCCAGATGAGTACCCAGATTACATTGATGACAACGGATTGAATCTCATACTCAAAGCTTCTTTAATTGTTAGTCATGGACAAAGGAAAAAGTTCTGGCAACAAAGAATGCATAAATTCTTTACTTACAGTAACAAGCAATGGCTACTAGATCAATTTAAGTACTGTAAACTTTTCCTTGAAAAGAATTCATATCCAGAGACTCCTGGGAATATTCCTAGGAGTTTGATGAAATTAGGGCCATATATCTTCCAAATAGTTAGTAGAGCTAAGAAGATGAAGACAATGTATATGACTGGAGATAAATGGAATGATACTTCAAACTCCCCTCAAGAATCGCAAAAAGACAAACAATCAACGATCTCTATCATAAACATCCCAGCTCTTCTCAACGGAATAGTAAACTTCGAGAGATTCTGTAGATCAATATGTCAATTTGAAACTAGAAACGGCGAAATTGAGCTACCTAAAGACAGTACAATCTACAAATCACTCTCAAGTAAGAACTGTCGTGTCTTCAAACAGTTCATCAGCTCTAATTTCAGCACAAACTATACTGCTGTCCAGACACCATAATTCCAAAACGGCCATTTTATTATCAGAAATTATACAATAAAAGGCACTAAACCCGGGGTTTTGGGGTTTTGGGGTTTTGGGGTTTTGGGGTTTTGGG